AGTGTTTTTGTGAATAGAATTGTGTCCCCTTAAATTGATATGCTGCAGTCTTGATCTCCTGTGTTACTATATCTGGGAGTACAGTCTATTCTGGCAACTTAATACATTCATGATCTTTGATATAAAGAATTCCTTGAAAAAAAAGAGTTCCTTCAACCTGCTTATTAGCACAGTGGGTGTAACACAGGGAAGACTTTACAAATTTAAAGATACGTCCCTAAAAGTTAGCCATCCTGAAACATAAGGAGTAAAAAAGGACAAAACCTAACAGCATCCCCAAAGTGGTGAGATGATATGAAATGGTCTAACATACATGTAATTGAGTTCAAGAACAAAAGAGGAGGGGCTGGGGCGTTGGCTCAGTGGAATAAGTGCTTCCCTGGCAAGCTCAAGGGGCTGAGTTCAATCCCCAGTTCCAAAAAAAAAAAGAAGAAAAAAAGAAGAAGAAGAAGAAAAAAAAGAGAACAGAAGAGGGGGCCTGCCCCTTAGCTCAGCTCTTTAAGTGGCTGCTTCAACAAAGCAGTCAGGCTTAGGTTGCTGTGGTTCGATCCCCACAACTCAAGCCAGCCCTGAAGGCTTTTGGAGCAAAAGAAAAGAAAAAACAAGAAGAGAGGACAGAAAAAGCAATAATAGTAGAGATTTCCCCAAAATAAATAAAAGATAACCAACCCCAGGTCCCAGGAGCTCAAGGAAACCTGTGGAAAAAAATGCAAATAAGATCACACCTGGACATGTTATCAACAAACTGCTTAAAATAAGCAATGAAGGGAAAATTTGGAAGGCAGTCAAAAAAATAATCAAGCATTCTATAAGGAACACATTCAGCGGACCTCTCAGAAGGCAGTGTGGTCACTTCTTTAACATAGTTAAGGAAAAATATTTAGAATCCTAAGTGGGCCATCTCACTTAGAATCATGAAAATATCTTTCACAAATTAAAATAAACTTTTATTTGTTTGTTTTATAAATGGAAGTAAAGAGACTTTATCATCTGCACACTGGCACTGCACAAAATGTTAGATTCTTCAGGTACAAGGACTAAGAACATGTTAGTGAGTTTTCCATTGCTGTGAAAAGATTTCTGAGAAAACCAACTTAAAGGCAGGCAATTTTATCTTGGCTTATGGTTTCAGAGACTTCAGTCCATGGCCACTTACCTTCATGGTTTCTAGGTCTGTTGTGAGGCAGAGCGTCATGGTGGAGAGGGCAGGCGGAACGCAAACTCCATGTAGATGAATATTTTAGAGTTGGGACAATTTCCAGTTCTAAACTCCTAGTCTACCTGATGCCCTTGACAGCCTTATCTACTGCATGATTTTTTTCTTTGTTCACTTTAGTAATTCCCTGGGCCAATTAATAACTAAGTTAGAATTTTGTTTAAAATTCTACTTCAGAGATGAGCATAGTGGCACATACCTATATTCCTAGCACTTGGAAGGCTGAGACAGGAGAATCACCATGAGTTTGGGGCCAGCCTGGGCTACATGGCAAATTCAAAGTTAGCCTGAACTACACAGCAAAACCCTGTCTAAAAAAAAAACAAAAGAAAAAATCTACCTCAGAATTCTGTGCCCCTCTCCCTTGGCATAAAGTCAGGGAGGGCATCTAGAGAGGGCAGAGGAGGTACTCACAGTTGCAGGCAGGAGTCTCATTTCTGTTTCTGTCCCAAATATGTCTAGGTGCTGATGATTCCCTGTTACAGGGCCCAAGGGGCTGGGGAGATAGCTCAGTAGAATAAGCACTTGTCTGGTAAGCGCAAGGTCCTGAGTTCAATCTCCAGTACCAAAAACAACAACAAAAAACCCACCTGCCCTGTTACAGGGCCCAGCAGGTATCAGCTTGCAGATCCACGGGTGGCCACTCAGGTTTTGGCATAAACATCCACCTGAAGCTTTGGCCCCAATTTCCTGTGGATCTCCCCTAAATGTCTGGGTATCAGTTTAGAGGGCTACTGTGGATCAGGACCCGCTTTTCCTCCACAAACCATGAAACAGTGACAAGACAGAGCCTTCTGTAGATTTGTCCCCTTTTTCCCTTTTTCTTCTTTTCTCTTTTCCTCCCCAGAAACACAGAGGCAGGCACAGGAAGGAAACTGGCTCTCTTGGTTGTCTCTTATTTCCCCACCTTTTTGGTCTCATGTCTGGGAGTGTGATCTTGGAATCTAACATATTAATGCTTAGTGTTTTTCTCCATCAATCCACATGCAAGTGATTATATAGTATGCTGTCTTAATTTCATATTCTGCTAAAAATGTAGTACTTTACATGGCTTTCTACTACATCAGTTATAGAGCTTTCTCTTTGTAGATTTTTTCTAGGGAGCAATGTTAAATATTTGTAAAATGAACATCTGAAGAACCTAGAATTTAGAGGTTCTTATAGACTGTGTTTCATCACCAGGATCATGTTATATATAGAATGGAATTTCCATACAGGTGGGTTCACCGCTGGACTTCTGGGCATTTTGCTGAACTTGTGGGGACTTGAGACTCTAGGTGCATTCTTAGAAGAATGAGACGAAGGAGAAGGAAAGGGAATGCAGAGAGCATCCTGGTATCAGTGTCAGAGGTTGCTTTATTGGCCTGGCTTCTTGACTATATGTCAAAACCTTATGGGACAAGAAGGTAGAGGTAGAAGTCAGGGATTCAGGTTTCATGAGGTTAAAATGATCATTGGATAAACCCAATATCACTGGAGACAGAGAAGAGAGAAAAAGAAACCCTAAATCCAGTTCTTCATAAGGTTAATGAGACGTGAAAAATGCCAGTATGTGCAGAGCACACAGTTGACTTGGATTTTCTATGACTTCTTACCTAGAGGCTTAAGTAACACAGAGGTTAATACAGAGTTTCATGATTCTATTACCTTGTGGTCATAGATTTCTCCTCATTCCTCACTTCCTATCAGTAGGCTAATTTCAAAGGTGTGTGCCTTGCTCCTTGCAGAGAAGAAGGAAATAACACGGACAATCTCTGAAGAATCTCAGCCACTTTCTCTTTCTGATTCCTGTCTTAGCCAGAAAACTCTATCCAACAGGAATAACTCCAGATGAGCCATCCTTTCTAGAAAGGTTTTGGGGATGCTACAAATTGCAGTCATTTACTACAGATGGGTAAGAGAGTAGATAGATTAGGAAAGAAACCAGTCCCATTGTCGTACATATTTACTCCCTGGAAGGAAAAATTTTCAGGTAGTAGTCCTGGAACAGAAAATATGCAGTTACTTGAGTCTGATCTTTTGCTCCAGGTTGACTCTTGGTCCCATTTTTCACTGAAAAGATCTTGATATTAATATGACCATAAAAACAAATGGAGGGGAAAAACATGAGGTCTCTGATATCAGTAGGGGTACAAGTGCTTGTTAGTTCTGACCTAACAAGGGCCCCAAAACAGTGTCCTGCTGAGAGATGCTATTTTTAGGTACATGTCTCTCATGGATTTTGCTGAGTGGTGCTGTTACTGAGTACACACCCTTCATGGGATTTTGCTGAGTGATGCTTTGGATCTCTGTCACTTCTTATGGACCCTCCTTCATTAAGTTGCAGTTAATACTATCCTTTTATTACCTTAATAAATCATATCTCAGGGACAACCAGGTAGCTCAGCAGACTAAAGTGCCTGCTTAGGCAGAGCACAGCAGCCGGGTTTCAATCCCCTGTGGTGTGCTGAGACTTGAGACTGGGTATGGTGGTGCACGGAAGCGCTTGGGAGGCTGAAAATAGGACAATCACTATGAGTCCAAGCTACATAGTGAGACCCTGTAGACACTATCCTAAATACAGAAATAAATAAATAAAATCTCACCAGCTACCTCTGTGTACTCTCTTCAGTCTCCCGACAGCCTCCTCCACTATCCTAGTGCACATGGGCTATGAAACAGGACAGTAACTCACCTACCTGAACACCAGTAAATAAACACTTCAGGAGGATCCTCCAGGGCCTCCTCTGTGGGTCAAGAATCGTGAATGAGGCCAGCCAGTATTGAAGTGTTGGTCTCAGGGCTTATTTTTATTTTATTATTTTTTTCATTAAAGTTAGTTCACATAAGATACAATTAACTATTATAAAGTGTATAATTCAGTGACCTTTTTAGTGCATTTACAAGGTTGTACAATGACCATCTCCTATTTATTATCCTAGACAAGTACTTTATATGCATTAGGTACTCACTTTCCAAGTCATTGACAATCACCAATCTATCCTGTCTTTATAAAGCCACTTATAGTGGATATTTTATGTAAGAGGGATCATATGAGATTTTTTTGGTCAGACTTCTTTCACTTAGCATAATGATTTTGTGGCTCATCTGCACTGTAGCGTGTATCAATATTTCATTCCTTTCTACAGCTGAACAATATTCCATTGTATGACTATATCACAATTTACTTACTCATTTGCTAATGGATAATTGTTTTTTTCTACTGTTTGGTAATTATGAATAATGCTATTGTAAACAGTAGTGTACATGTTTGTGTTTGGACATATCTCTTTTGACTATATTCCTAAGAGTGGAGTAGCTCAGTCATTTGGTAATTCTGGGTCTGATATTTTGAGTAACTACCTACCTGTTTTCTATAACAGCCACATCATTGTCTGTTCCCAACAACAATATATGAAAGTTCTTTCTTTTTGTTTAAAGTCACCTTAATGTGGGGCTCAGGATACAATCCAGGCCTCATGTATGCTAAGCAGATGCGTTACCACTGAGCTATATCCCCAGCCTTCTCCCTGTAGTTTCAATTTGCATTTATAAAATGTGCAATAGCACTATATGCTTTCTAGCATTTGCCAAGCCCTTTTTATGTTATTAAAAAATTATTAGAGCTATTGAAGTTCTCAAAGAACTTTTGTTTGTGTAAATTCATATTTAACAATACTCACTGTATTTTGAAATGAAAACCAAGAAATTTTAAAAAATATCATTTATTAATAACATCAGAGTGATGACATAATCGGCACTTCTCGTGTAGCTTTTGGAAAATTTCACCATACAGTTGTGAAAGGAAGGCAAACAAAAATTGGTAAATAACATATCATAAGAATTTTTTTATGTAACAGTTTTCTCTACCCCAAACTGAGTAATGATAATACTGTTCAATTTTACTCAAGTAAGAGTAAAACATTGTTTTCTCCACTCTAATCTTCTCAACTTTACCCAGAAAACATATTTGGGGAAGGGGGTCATCTATTTGGAGAAACTCTGGTTTGTACCTGACTGGTCAAAAAAAAGGACAGAAAATGACCATTTGTATCTAGACTCTGCTGAAATCCACCACTATTTTCAAGGCATTACTCTGCCTTTTCAGAAGTGGAAGCTGGGCAATAGTTTAAATATCAGGTGTTAAACTTGAACACCTGAGTTAACTGGATTGACAAGCAATATCTTACCCAGAAGATTTCATTGAAACCTAAACACTGAAGGTGATTTTGGGAGGAAGGACTGAGGGAAGGTTTGCACAGGGAAAATGCAGGGATTCTCAAAATATAGTCTGTGGACCAGGATCATTAGTTTCACCTGGGAACTTGCTAGAACTGTAAGTGCCAGGTCTAATGAGTCGGAGATTTTGAAATGGGCCCAGAAATCTGTGTTTTAAAGAAGTCTCCAGATGACCTTGGTTTGCCTAACTTTTTGGTAACATTTTAGGACGACTGGGATATCTCTACCAAAGTTAAATCTGATCAATATAATCTCTCCATCATTTCCTCATTCTTCTTTCATTCCTCCCATAGACATTGAAAGTATTGATCTATTTTCAGTGTTTCTATGACAAATATTGGGAAAATATACCCATTTGCACATTGTGTACCTAACTGTAAACATTATATTAGTGCAGGCCAGATTCAGAGTTTGACTTAGAGACATCCCAAAAATACAAACTCTTATAAAGAGGCCCAATATAGAGACAAAATATTTCAATAAACATAATTCATGGCCTGAAACCCGGTTTATTGTTCTGTTTATGACATTGACTCCAGTGAAATCCTTTTAAATATCAATTCTGTATAATTCCCAGAGCTTGGCTGTACTATTTTGGTGTTACCCCTAAATTACTCTACCTTAGCTTCTGTTCTTTTGGAAATAAAAATCAAAGTCACAAAACAAATGTGTTTCCTTATAGGACTGGGCTTTTTATATAAAAAAAAAAAGGCATCCTTGTTATTATCTCAGAGTTCTTACAAGATGCTCAGTAAGTAATTATAATTAGGGGAATGGGGTTGTCAGCCAGAGCCTGGGAAAAGAACCACATAAGCAAGGTCCAGGAACTTGGGGTGGGGCTATATTTATGTTAGTGCTGGGTTTTACTTGGGATTTCCAAGCTGATAAGTTGGAATGAAGTCCACATGATGGTACTTTTCTTTATGTTGTGTGTGGTGTGGAGTTTCATACCATTCTAGCTTTCATCAACTCATATACACAAAAATAAGACCAAGTGTTCTGGTTGTTCCTTCTCTTTCCCTTTGAAGACTTTGGCCTTGAGGTTTGTAAGAGACTAGAACTCACTCTTTGATGGCACAGACTGGTTTAGTGATGATGGGTTGCCATGAGGCTACTTCAGAGCTTTCCAAAACCTAACGGATCACGAGATGCCTGCTGGGTAGGTGTTCTACTTCCTTGGTCTTATGCTTCATGACTTCTCTTGACTTCTTACTATTCTTGGTTTTCTAGATGGCTCTTCTGTTCTTCTTCCTGTAGTGATAGCATAACAGGAATTGGTAAGGCAGGAACTAGGATGCTATGAGGTGGTAGAGACAGTAAAATAGAGAAAACTCCAACAAAATGAAGTTGGGAAGCCCAAAATGAAGGGTGAGTCACAACCCTCCAGGAATCTTACAAAAGCACAGGTCAGGTGTCTGCTGGTTGTCTGGGAATTGCCCAGCACATGGTCAGGCAGGCCACTGGCTCAAGGGCACATTGGCTGTAGGAGCACAACATGAACACTGTATGCATTGGACTCTACCAAGTATGTAGTCTCTTATATTGTAGAAATTATAATCCTTCCACAATAGCTCAATCTCTCTTCTAAATCCCTTATAAACTCTTACAAAAAGACTTGGGCAATCTTATTCAGAACCCCCTTTTGGCCAGCACAAATTTTACCACCTTGCCTTTGCATCTTTTACTTCCTTGCTTTTATATCCTGTAAGTAAATTTGCTTGCACCCTACCTCTTTCATCCATGTTTTCATTCTTTGTCACTGTGGGACACAAGCTGAGGATTCTGGTAACAATAGACCTCAGTCATAGCTGTATGTATAACATTGTACTAAAAGAAATGTGATCCCTACTCTAAACCAACATGGGAAGAATATTCCACTTCATTCCCAACTGACATGTTAACTTCAAATTCTCCCTCACAATGATGTTACCTTTCCATGTGATAAAATCTGACCTCAAACTCTGTCTACCCCTCCAAAAGCTAAAATCTGGCTGCCCTATTTTAGCTTCTATTGTATAGTTCCTATGGCACGATAATTCAATTCACTATTCCATGAATGCACCTGAGGAAGAGCAAAGGAAGCCCTCTCATTTCCCTGGTAATGCTAGGCTGGAAAGTACTGACACAGGTGCTGAATGGATCTCAGGAAATGAATAATGTGAAGGACTCCGCTTTGTGGCTAATCCCCAAGGGTAGCATGACTTGAGATCCTCATGTCATGTCCCATTCAAGGATATGGTGGATACGGAGTGAAGGTGTCCCACATATTACAAACAGGGGGTCCTCTCCGAGTGACTCTTCTTCCATAACATCCACTTCCACTCAGCCAACAGATCTTGTTCATTTGACCTTTCTTATGTCTTTTTTGATTCTTCTTCACCTTGCTAACATATAGCCACTGACATAGTCTAACTCTCATTGCCTTCTAAGTGGATTTATTCCATCATAATGTATTCAAGTCACCCCCTGGTAGCCCACTATAAGCCTGGCCTCTACACAGTAGTCAGACTGTTTGGAAAGCCAGTGTTGACATCTGCCTCCAATTAAGATGTTCTGGACTTCTATGCTGCCCTCACAATCAAGTCCAGACTCCATCTTTCATGGCTTGGTCTGTTCATCCTGTCCCCTTTAATGTACACCCCAGTTGCTCAGCTCTACTCAGCTTCTCCCAACATACTATCATGTTGCTTAATTTCTTGATATCTTTGCTGCCAGAAGACACTTTCTGCTTTTTTTTTTTTTTTTTTAATTGGGAAAGGTCTACAAGATGTGCAGCGTCTCACTACTAGATCAGACTCATACTGATCCACCTGTTTACAGCTTCCCAAGAGCTGGGATTACAGGCACACGCCACCACGCCCAGTCTCAATTGCTGTTTCAGCGCACCCTGGGGGCAGGGCCAGCACATTTCTGCTTTTCTTGAACTGGCTTTTGGCATTTCAGGTACCATCAGCTCTCAAAGCCCAGTTTGAACCCTCTGTAGGATTGTGTCCTCTGTCACAACTCCTACTACACTTCCATCTCAGATTTTAGCAAGTTATGTTTCAAGTCCATGTTTTTTTTTTCTTTCCACTAGGCTGTAATCTCATAAGAACAGGACCATGTTGTATTCATCTTTGGATCACTGCAACAGCGGTGAACACCTAGAAGATGTTCTATAATTTGTATTTTTACCTACATAGAGGATAATAGCTGCCACACTGAAATCATAAGAGCAACAAAGTCTGCCAAATAATTTGCATGAACTAAAATTCCTGGTTTCTAGTCAGTGCTGTTTTCCAGAATTTTCTGCAAAGATAAAAATTCTGTGTTGGTTTTTAATCCAATAAAGTAGCCACATGGCAGCCAGTGAATTCTTGAAACAAGGGTAGTACAGCCAAGGAACTGAATTGTTCTAAATTTTCTAAATTTAAACTTAAATAGCCACAGAGAGCTAGTGGCTGCCCTTTTGGACAGAACGGTTCTACACATTTCCCGGTCCTTACTACACTCCCAGGAACATCTGGGTACTTCCTACCTTTTTTCAGAGCATCATGGTGCAAAGCTCCAAGGAGAGTTGTACTGAGATTCATATTCATATACAGTTCTCTGGAAGTGACTGCCTATCTCCACTGTGTAAATGCTCCCACCAGGCCTATCTCTCAGTGACCAATGTGACATCCCCTGGATGCAGAATTGGGAAAAGTAGTGCACCATTTTATACCATTTCCATGCTAGAGGTACCGTAAGTTATAGGTAACTCTGAGAATAGAGATAATATTAAAATGTAGTAAAACAATTAGGTTTTGATTAATTTTGAGTATTTATTGCCTTTGCTTTAATATGATTTGCTCAATCATTAGTTTGTACACTTTAACTTTTAAACATGATTGTACTTTTAAAAAATAGTCTCAGGGGACATGGTAGTGCACGCTTGTAACCCGAGCACTCAGGAGGCTGAGGCAGGAGGACTGTGAGTTCAAGGCCAGCCTGAGATACACAGTGAGTTCAAGGCCAGTGTGAACTGTATAGCAAGACCTTTCTCAAAAACAAAACAAAACAAAAAAACCAACAACAAAATTTTTCTTCCACAAGGCTGGTTTAGAGGTAGAGCATTTGCCTACCACGGTCAAGGCCCTGGATCCCATCCCCAGAACTACAGACAAAGTTCACTACAAGTTCCTGAAAATTTAACTAGTGAACCTGCTGTAGTACATCCCCAGCTTCTAGTAATTATTCTAAAACAAGCACATCTCTGGCCAAGCTTCCATCCTCTTTCAGCAATCCAAAGCTAGGATTTCTGTTTGGCCACAAGAGGGCATCATAACATGAAATTAGACCCTAGAAAGCAGGCTTTGCGGATGGGCTGTCTGATCAAAGGAGCCCTTTTGAGATTTTAGTCTTCCAAAGATGGCAGTATTTCAAGGCTCTATAGATACATAGTTTCAGGCTGTTCTTGACCTCACACTATGAATTCTGAAATGTTTTCAAATAACCTTCTCCTCATGTCTGAGAGGCAAATCAGATCCTTGCCAGATACCAAGCCGAGAAAGAAAGTCTCACAAGTACTGAGCATCCATAAGATGCCAGGTATACACTCCACTTCCTGTAATCCTGGAACAACTCCTGAGAGAAACGGGTAGACCGCCAGGCCTGTGGATAATTGCTAGTACAATAACCCTGGAGGGCTTCTCATTTACATTGCAATAATTTGTACCTTTTATTTTATTTTTTTTCTTATTTTTTATTTTTTAAAGAGCATACAAAATAATAATAATAAAAAGAACATTAGAAACAATGCGGAGTTTCATTAAGCATATAATATGAATTTGACAATGTTTGTTGTATTACATAGGGTTGTCTTCAAATTAGTTGTTTAGATTTCATATATATTATATATATTATATATATATACAAAGTTGGAGGAAAAAGTTATAAGAAATTAGAAAGAAGAGGAAAAATTTTAAACATTAACTGCTCCTTTCCATACACCAGCAGACATCAGCCATGCAATTATCCAAGCCATCCTGCATACATATATAGATATATCTCTTAATTTGTACCTTTTAATGCATGTGAGGAATATTAAGAACATTTTTCAGACTCTTAACATTTGGTTACTTATACTGGTACAAGGATGGGAAGGCTCTCGCTGTCTTTCTCTCCCTGCTGGGCTAATTAAAGTACTAAGGGGGTCTTGCTGGACAGTTTATATCAGAGGTGACCAAAGCCTACCCAAAGAGCAATACAAGTGAGTCTGATAGTCTCGTCTTTCAGGAGAGGGAGAACCCGGCTTTTCTTAATTCTTTAGAAAAATTATTTTTTATTCTTTCTATACAAGGTCTCGCTACGCAGTTTGGACTCATAGTGATCTTTCTGTGTCAGCCTCCCCAGCGCTGGGATTATAGGCATGCGCCACCATTTCCAATTACAGGTGTGCATCACCACACCTGGTTTTGGGGCTGGCACCATGAGCTCAGGGTTCCAGGGTTCCAGGATTCCAGGGCCTACACAGCACGGGGGTCGGTGCGCCATGTGGTAGCAGGGATTGAACTCAGGACCTTGCACTTGCCAAGCAAGTGCTTACACAGCCAAGCTGTCTCCCCAGTCCTTTTCTTAATTCTTAACTCTGTTAACCAAGTGCCAACCTATAGGGCGTGCTTATGCTTTTTCCAAGGATGAAGCTCGGGTGCTTTGCCTCCTCTGTCCTTTGACACAGTGTTGCTCAACAGAAATGAACTCACCATCTCCACTGCCAGGTGAGGCCACTCAGGAACAGGATGCTGACCAGCAGGAACACACAGCCGGCCACTGTCAACAGAGAGGTAATTCAGCTGAGACACATGGGGCTGGACCTTGGCAACCACAGGAGTTGGGTCCGCAGAGCGGGCAAGGAAACCCCCTGGATGAACAAGGGCCTCTGGAAGGGCACATGCTGCTCTGCTTCCTTTTCTGAGTTCAGGCCCCTCCTCTGAGGGTTTCTTAGGAGGCTCAAGGGGCCCGGGCAAGGTAGGTGGGCATGGGGGTGTGCCTTTAAGAAAAGGGGCTGTGCCTCTCCTCTGGGGCAAACTGGTGGAGAAGCAATTCAAAATAGCTCAGAGGCTCCTTTAAAGAGGCTGTGAGTATGACCTGCATGTGGTAAAAGAAACAGGGAAACAAGAAGATAAGCAGCAAACACAGTAACATCTCAAAGTGTTTCCATTTTCCACATGCTGATCTGCAGGCGTTCTGAAGTCATCCATTTATCATCCTCCTGGCAGAGGCAGTTTAAACAAGTATTTCCCTGGCAGGAAACTGCTGCGGGGTCTGTGGAACTGTCTTTTCTGTTGCCCTGGTGGTACTGCCCTCTTCCTTCCTCCTGGCCTGTGTGTCACTAATGGACGTGGACCCTTTCCCCTCAGGAACTGGTAGAGGCTGGTTTGAGACTTAACTGACTATGAGTCTCAAGTAGTGTTAGTATCTGGATTCATCTTTTTACCCTTAAAATTTTATATGTTGTCAGAAAGGGTCATTTAAACCAGCCAGCCAATCTGTCCATGTCTGGGTTGGATGTACATCTTACTCCCAGAAAAAAATGATCCCACTCACCTGCTACATGATACTCGCTTGGAAATATGGGAGTCTCCATGGTGGTAGCTGTTTCCATCTCTTCTGGAAACTCTATGAAAAAGAGAGCAGGAGAGACACTCAGTTTATGCCAAGGATAAGATTACATGAGGCTGGGGAGAGCAAGGGCTTCTTAATGATCCCTGCCTGGTGGGAGGGATGTGGTAGCCAGCACAGCAGGGGTCGTTGTACTGTCCCACTGCCAGGAGACTGCCAACTGGGTGGTTGGTTTTGACATTTGCTGTTGGGTATGCAGGTTGCTGAGGCAAGTTCCTGCCCTAGATGGGAGGGTGCAGCTGGGAATGGCTTTTCCTTCCTACCCAGTCCATCTGCTACAGAGGTGGGCATTAGGGAAGGTCTGCCCTTTCCTGATTTGGCTTTAATGCCTGAACCTCTGTCCTCACAGGACTTTCCCCCTACCTGTTGTGGTGGTGGGACAGGAAGTCTCACTTTCAGGAAGGGCATCTGTGCTTGCAAGAGGGTCTTCCTGACCTGGAGAGAAAGCAAGCAAGGCTTGTGGAGTCCAAGATGGATCAATGGGAGGCTCACTCATCTTACACCTGCCTTCTATAGCTGACCCCAGATGTGGCTGCTGAGGCAAGACTCCTGCTTTCGCTACATCTCTGAGGCAACAGTTCCCCGTTGGAGTCACTAGGAAGCAAGCAGGCTGCCACAGTCAGCTTTGGGTTCTTTTGCTCATTTCAGATGGAAATCCTGAATTAGTGAAGCACAGCTCTGATAGTCCCGAGGTCACCAGATGAAACCAAACAATGCTGGGTGTCAACAGTTGACACAGCCAGCTGCTGGTCACTGCTGTTGCCAGCTGTCACTGTCTGCAGCTCGTTAGTGCTGGATACCTTGGAAATAGGTCAGAATAAAACAATGAAGAACCATCAGATGAAGGGAAAAATGCATAAAGGATAGCTCTTTCTCTTTGACAGGCCCTCTCTTTCTCCTAGCATGATTAATGACTGTTTCTTCAGCCTCTTACAGGAAGAGTGTAGGAAAACAACTTTCCCAAAGAACTCTGCAGGAACTCACAGACTGTGAGAAGTAGTGAGCAAAGAACCCTGGAACACCTGTGACTGAGTGTGACTTTTTATGGTAGAAATAGTAAGATTTCAGAATGAAGACTTCAACCCATGTAGGGTACATGTGTGCAGGGGTGTGTATGTGTGTGTGTGTGTATGTGCGTGCACAGTATGCATATGCACACTTGAGTGAGCCCCTTTCCTGCACATCAATATTCTTACCCAAATTCAGGTGAGGACTCACACAAGGAAGGAGCATGATAACAATGGAGCACTGTGCAAAAGATGGACCTACATCATACTCTGGTAGAAGGAAGATTTGTGGATTTTCCCCTTTCAACTAAAGGAAGTTTTGGTAGCTTGGGGGAGTAGTAGAATTTCCAGACCAGTAGACAAGGGGCAGCATTATCATGAGGCAGCATAGCATCATGGGTGCTTGAGAGCACCTGAGAGAGCTTTCTTCCTTGTCTGACTCTACCACCATCCAGGGTACAGGGCCAGCGTGTTAGGTGAGGAGATCCATAGAGTTCATCTGGCCTATTTTTTTTTTAGAATGAGAAAAACTGAGACCCAGGGGACCAAGTGGTTTTCTCTAGGTCACATGAAAGTGAAGTCAGAGTTCCATCTTGTTGACAGATGGAGAGAACAATGACGTAGACCCAAGGATGGAACCACTCACCCGCAAACAAATGGAGCTGGCTTTCAGCTATGCATGTGAGCCTGGGCCTGGTCCACCTCGCTTCCCCACAGGTCATTTTGCAGATGCTTATGGCAGGACCTCTCTGTATGGCCTGGTAGCCTTGGATGCACTGGTAGTGAACTGTCTGCCCCACCTTGAAGTGGTAAGTTCTGTTTTCAGCTTCATGTTTCCATGGAGGGGGCTCCAAGCAGTCATCTAGAAGACAGAAAGAAAATTCTGAAGGCAAGTTCTAGAAAAAAATTTGAGTGAATCCAGGTTACCTCTTGCTGTGCCAGAATCTTAGTTCTTATTATTTTGTTTGTTTGTTTCATTCTTCATTCAACCCACCTGTGTTGAGAATGTCATGCAGCAGGAACCTTGCTAGGCACTGTAGGAAGGCAGAGACCCAGTCCCACCTGCAATGGCTGGACAGTCAGCAGGGCCAAAAGACATAGGCACCCTGAATGTGGTGGGAAGTGCAGATGGGGAGCAGAGAGAGTCTTGCTAGGAATACAGGGAAAGCAGTCCTTCACTCTGATTGATGCTACCTCTGAGAAGGAAGTGCCTGGGTTGGGCCCTATATGACAATGCAGGTTTTGAAGATGTGGACAGGAGTGGAGAGGGTGGTCTTGGCTTAAGGGTAAGGGCAGGTCAAGTCAATGTGGAGATCACTGTCCTAGGTATTTTTCTCCTTGCTGAGATAAAATGCCCAACATCCCAAATTAAAGGAGGAAAGGTTTATTTTGCCTAATAGTTTGTAAAGGTTTCAGTCCATAATTAGCTGGCTCTAAGGTAGGATGGCACAGCGGAGGGGTTTACACGGAGGAGAAACAGTTCATGGCAGGTGGATGACAATGGACACAGCAAGTGACCACCTACAAGTAAATAACACTAAGCCTCTTTCTGTCCCTTATATTTCAGCCGGGTTGCTCACCCTTAAGGTGATTGGCACTCACACCCTTAATCCTGGGATCCTTCATTGTAGCACTGCCCCATGAATCAATCACATACTCTAGATCTAGCCACCTATGAAAAAAAAACCCACCTATGGCCACATGAAGCTTTGGGTGGGCAGAGCATCTAGATACTAGTCATAACAACCACCTTCCTCCAAGAATATGTAAGAAAACACATCTTTGTCACCCTGGGATTACAAGGGAAGGACCAGGGACAAAGCCAAAATCTGAAGGAGGGAAGAGCTGAGAGAATTTCAGAGATATGGGGCATGATCTATATCTCTGAAAGAGACATTAAGCCATGTCTTCAGCTCTTGATTATGAAGATATTAAGAGATTATTAAGTCATTCCTGCAGCTTGGCCCATATGGGTCTTGTTAAGACTTCTAAAGATCCCCTAAATCAGTGGTGGTGATCTTTTTAGAGCTTTCAATGATACAAACAGCCAGCAACAGCACACACACACACACACACACACACACCCATTAACTTTCCGCTTGCCTGACTACAGACTAGGCCAGAGTGACCTTTGCCCTCAGATCTCATGTCATGTTCTGATTTAATCTCAGGATTCCCCACCCACTGTCCTCTGTTGAATCATATGGAGCTGTATGTACCATGAAACTGCCCGACCTTTCAGACTCTCCACAACCCCAAGTATCTTACATAGCTGCTACAAGTATTTTGTATAAGCCCTCTGCCCCAGGAGGAAACCCACCTGCCCTGTCCTGAGCTATCTTCTGTTATATTTGCAAAGCATGACTGAATTTGTGTTGTAGTCGCAGAATAAAATGTTCTTTCAAGAATAGTAAAATTCATAACTGTCTGAGTCAATTGGAAATGTGTTTATTGCTTCCAAATACAAATATTCAAACAATGACAATTTGCAAAACATCCCTGAGGGCCAGATGGTTATTCTTGAGTAAGTACAATAAACAGTGACTTCTTGGAAGCCTTTCAACAATTGTGAAAGGTGACATGGGGAGAGAAAGAGCAAAACAAACATTAAGTATGTTTGGAAACAAAATTCCAAACATACAAGGGGAGAAATAAACAGTGTCACTGGCCTGATCTTTTTCTCCTTAATAATAAAAAGCTACAAATCAATTCAAAGTAGTTTGACCCAAACACTCTACAGAAATACCCTCATTGCAGGACATGGTGGCACAGCGCTGTAATCCCAGCACTTGGGAAGCTGAGGCTGGAGGATCCCCATGAATTTGAGGCCAGCTGGAGCTACATAGTGAGTTCAAGGACAAAACTCTTTCAAAAAAAAGGGGGGGGGGCTGGTGAGATGGCTCAGTGGTCTAAAGCACCTACTTAGAACAAGCTAAGCAAAGCACAGGGACCACGGTTCAATCCCCCAGCACCACATGCCAGCCAGCCCGCCCCCTGGTGGGCTGAGCTGGCCACACACACACACACACACACACACACAAATAAATAAATAAAATTTTAAAAAAAATTAAAAAAAAGGGGGGGAAGGCCCCTCAACTAATCTAGGAGGTCGAGGTCTTATCCTAGTCTGCTACAGGATCATAGCCAAATCTCTGTGTCTCAGTTCCTTTAGAAAATTGAAACAAGCTTCCTGCTCCCTCATCATTGAGTTGTCAGGTTCCAATGAGATTCTATATGATATCATACAGTTCTTTGCAAGGTTATGCAGGTTGGTCTCCAGCTGCTTTGATTTTTGTAGCAGGCTCTGTCTTTTCCTGACAGGATGACTTCATTTAAGCTTTAGTCACTGGAAAGAGCTGAGAGCAGCCACAGAGCTCCCTCATCCATCGCTAACTAGCTAGGTGATCATCTGGAGCTTTTCACAATGGGTGACCCTGTCCTGTAAGAAACCTCTTGACATAAATTGTCTTGCTTGTAATCCATTGCCTTCTACTTAAGAGGAAAAACAGAGTTTCCTAGAGGACAGGGATTAATGTCCTTGTGTTTGTGTCTTCTGTTGGCAGTGCCTGGGGCAGTCAGCCCTAACATGTGCTTTTGACTTGAATCAAATTGAGTTGAGTTGAATTCTGTCCTCCTAGCTCCCAACCCATACCCTGGTTTGGATCCCACATGAGTGTTTTGAAATGCTGAGCAAACAGTCTGCCAATCTTAAGCAATGTTTTTTGTCCACAGTAGACCATGAGGAGAATGAAATGAGAGTGCATGTGGACAGCAGGAAGTCTTGCCTCCTCATGCAGATGTATCTCTTACCTGGAAGGTTTACCATGTCCACAGGCTGTGTCTGACTTTGCATTGCTGTGGTGTTTTTTCCTTTGTGTTCTTCAGGTTGAGGTGTAACTGATTCTCTTATGCTCCTTGGGGCTAGAGATGATGGGAGGAGGAGTGAAAAAATAACTTCACACATGCTTTATGCTGTTCTTCACTCAGGAGCATCCTCCAGTGCCCATGTATTCCCAGTAATATTTCCAGCTGAGGTCACTGAGGTGTGCCAGGTATAAGCCCTCCCTTGACTGTGGCCTGAACTGGCCTCTCCATATTCACCCATTGAACAACAATGTCTACAACATATTTCTGGAAAAAAAATGAATGATTTTCTGATGGAAATTCTTTTTTTAATGCAAAGTCTTGTTATATAGTTCAGGCTGGACTTGAACTCACCATGTAGTCCAGGTCAGTTTCAAACTCTCAACAATCCTCCTGGCTCAGCCTCCCAAGTGCTGGGATTAGAGGCATGCATGCACCACACCCAACTCGGAAAATCCTTTTTGTGCATGTGTGTCTCACTAAGAGGGACTCCTTTCTTGTCATTAGTTCTGTCGATGTTGTGCATGGGTATTTGAGACAGCAATGAGAAGTGGTCTGATTCTATAACCTAATGAATTTTGTACTCCATTAAGGCAGTTTAAAACTTTAGAGATGTGATCTTAAAGGAATGACAAGAAAACGCCTCCTCTAATACCATTCCCTGTGAAGAGTGTGGCATAGGAGTTGCAGGTGAAGTGGGGAGCAGAGCTCTAGCTTTGGATAAGAGAGAGATCTGCTGGATGAGCCAGGTGCTTCCATAGGGCAGCCACTTTCAAGCTTCATGATCCACACACAATGTGACACTCTGAGCCACACCTTCGCCAGGATTAAGGAATGAAGATGAATGAATTTAGAATGTAGCATTTGTTACATTCTAATACTGCAGGGTGGATAGGAGACCTACCAGGGAAATGAGGCTCTGTGAGAGAGCTTTCAGGATTTAAGGAAGAAAGGTCAACATCAAAATCAGGTATTAGATCCACTTAGGCTTAGAAAGCCTAGGAGAGTCCTTTTTTTGTACTTGGTACAGGGTCTCACTATACAGCTTGAACTCGAAGTGATCCTCCTGTTTTCAGCCTCCTTGGTGCTGGGACTACTGGCATGTACCACTACGCTTGGTCTCCTAGGAGAGTTCTTGCAACTATTAACACTTATTGGGTATTGGTTTGTTAAATAATTATTTCAGAAGCCACTACAATTAGTTGCACCACAGATTACCTTTTTTTTTTTTCAAAACCGGGGATTAAACTCAGGCCCTCATGCTTGCCAGGGAAACACTTATTCTACTAAGCCATCTCCTTGGCCCCAAGACCACCTTTTTTCTGGAGGGCTCAGTGAGCAAAAGATGGACTCTGTCTCACTAAAACCTTTAGTAAATACAAAAGGAACTACTTACAAGTGCTTACACATTGACATTTGTTGGTCCAGGAAGAGTTTCCACTACACATCAGATAGATTGCCCCATTTTTTATCCTGCGAAAATTTTTCTTGCAGTTACAGTATACCATTGTGCCATTCTTGTAGGTGAGGGCTTTGTATGTGGCGTAGTTGATGACTGGGGGGTCCTGATCACAGTCCTCTGTAAAGACAAAGAAGCACGTCAGGAGCTCATGGGGCCCCAGCCGGACATTGGCACGTTCGATTGTGTCATGACCAGTCACATAGTCCTTCACTTTATTGAAAACATTTACCTATGCCACGTTTTCCTAAAAAGAAACTCATCTGCCACTTTTCTTTAGAAACCTTTATAGCAGAGATTTTTGAGCAGTTCTCACCCACTTGCCTCTCCAAAATAAAATATACTTCAAATTAAAGGAGTAAAAATGAATGGGGTTTTATTCTGAATATGCCTTGTGTTGAGCAAATGTAGAGAGGATAAGGTCAAGTAATGTGAGGGAGGGAGGGATGAAAACCATACAAATATAACCAAGGGACAAAATTATGTGTGCCACTTGGTCCTTTTTTATTTTATTTTTTTTCTTTCTAATGTGGAATAAGATGCTATTTAATTTTGTTTTTCCATAGCTAATATTTTTATGTATATGCTTTAGTGATTTTTTTCTTTACAAGAAGTTTTGGACAATTTCATTTTTGTGTATCTTTGTATGATTTTATTTAAATATCTTTGAAAAAGGTTCATTTTTCTTGGAAATGTGGTATTAGAAGCTGAACTAAATTCAGAAATTTTAAATCTTTAAATATTTATTGCCTACTACTCCTTTCTACTTTGAAAATTCTAATTATATGAATATAAGTTTCTGGGTTTTGACACAGTGAACTATTATGACTGATCTGTAAATTTTTTCTTCATTTTTATTTTGGACAGATTTTATTGCTATATTCATTTATGTTTGTAAATAATTTATTTTCAATTTGCAATCTATTAAAAATGAAATTAAAAAAACAACCAAAATTATATGTGCAAAATACTTAGCAAATAAAAAACATGAGATTTTCTGTCGTTAATGGTTATGAGCCATTGTTTTTAGGAATAGACAGAAAGTATTTCACTCAAAGGCTGGCAAGAAGAGAATGTGTTTCTTACTGATTTGTGCACCACTGCATTTACCAACTATGTGCTCACAACCTGAGCAATGGGCACTGGTACCCGGTAGGGACATCAGGGGCAGTGGTCCAATACCCAACTGTCAAGTCAGAAGATGGCTCCAGACTGGCCAGAAAAATCATTTCATTGCATATTTTGCAACAAGTTCTTTTGCCTGAAGAGATTAGATTAGGAAAATGCCAAACTCTGGGTGAAGGGAAAAAATGAAGAGACAGCAGCTGCTGTACTTATTGCTGCGGGTTGGCCTATTGGTTACTGTGTTTGGTTAATTTTAAATATCAACAAGTGAACAGATGAAAGCCTAGAGAGCTGCTAAAGTATATGGCTAGGTGTGTCTCCAAGGCTGTTTTCAGAGAGCCGTGATGTATGATCAGCAGAGAGAGTAGGGAAGACCCATGCAATAGGCTGGCAGCTGCGGTGGAAAATATCTCTCTCCCCTCCTACAACCTTTGGACATCAGAGTCCAGGTTTGGTTGCCTTTACACTCTAGGACTTGCACCAGCCACCTTCCCAAGGTTTACAGACCTTTAGCCTTAGACTGGCTGCTGTATATTGGTTTCACTTGTTTGGGGCCTCTTGTCTATTGGACTGAGTGATCATTACTGACTATAGTATGCAGATGGCCATCGTGGAATGTTCCAACCTCTCAGATCATGTGAGTCAATTTGCTGATACATTCATAGTTATATATACATATTCTATTGCTTTTGTTTCTCTGGACAACCCTAATTATTCCTCAGATTAATCACTCAGACTGATGAAGTTTCTTTGTCCACCTCACCACTCAGTGGCTCAGGACTTTCCTGAGTCCTCTGAGACCTGAAAGTGGGAAGGGCTTAGCCTGGTCTACCTCTAGCCAAGAGGGTACTGACCAAACCAATTTAAATGTTTTCAGGGAACCAGAACTTATAATAGAAACTCAAATAATTATTACAGTAAACCAAGGAAGGAGACACAATAGAAAGGGGGAAAAGATACATTTTTAAATTATAGCTTCTAAATTCTAGCTCTATCAGCTTACAAGCTATATAGCTTTATTGTTTTAGTTTCTCTAAGGCTTGTCTCCTTTTTCATAAAAATAAATGTGATGACAATTATTTTATTGATTTAAAATTACACTGAAGAACTTAGTAAGCTAACTTTTAGAGGGCTCAACAAGTAGTAGGAATGGGTGTTACTGCTACTCTCTTTCTTTTTTTTTGTTTTTTGAGACAAGGTCTCACTATTTAGTCCAGGCTGGCCTCAAAACTGTGACAATCCTCCTGTCTCAGCCTTTTTGATGCTATTATTACAGGCAAACACCACTGGCACTTCTTTTGTTTTATTTATTTATTTACTGTACAAGGAAAAAAAGAATGCTAAGTCAGATAGAGATTGGGCTGAAGTCTCATTTACCGTGAATTCCTGCGAAATATCCTATCTCTGCGCTTCCCATATGATTGATACTATTTGCTGCCACTTATTACATGCCAATGCCAAACAACATTTTAAGGGCCAAAAGGTAAACTTGGTGTCAAGAGAAGATATAAATAAAAATCAGAAAAACCAACAAGGAATTCTGGCTTAGGTCACACTAGAGTAACTGGGACCAAATTTTATCTTTCTGTTGAAAACTAGAACCTTAGACTAGATGTGTACAGCAAGAGTTTTGGGACTTGCACAACAGGCAGCCCAGGGCTGCATTATTTAAGGAAAGGGAAGTGCATGGGTAGGCCCACAACTACATGGCTTTCCTCCTGACACACGTATTTCCATGCAATACAAGTGGAGCCAGGCTCTCTGGTGGCCTCCCTGACTTAGCATGACCAGACTCTGTGACTGGCCCTGGAGAGGAGGATGCTGCACAGGGTTCACTCCTCAGGTTCTTTGGTGAGAGTTGTTTGCTATGAACAGGGCAAGACTCAGGGAGACTTAGTCCTGGTTGCCTCTTGTGAGGGCTGAGCAAAGACCATTTGTGAAATTTTACTTGTAAAAACAGGCATTTGACTTGTGGTCATAGTTTTCCAGTTCTGGTATAGAGTGAATGGCTTTCTTGGGATGAAATTCAAAATCAAAATAGAGGCTGGGAGTGGTGACACATGCCTGTAATCCCAGTATCCTGGGAGGCTGAAGCAGAAGGATTACCAGTTTGAGTTAAATCAGACCCACTCAGTAACTTAGCAAGAGATCTTATATTTAAATAAATAAATAAATAAATAAATAAATAAATAAATAAAATAGGTCTGGGGATGGTTAGCTCAGCACAAATGCCCTGGATTCAATTCTCAGTACTACAAAAACCAAACAAACCACCACCAGCAAAAACCAAAGTAAATATACCCTTACCAGGACCAATCTAAGCCTAGCAGGCAGGAGGATGCATCATCCCCTGCCTGTCAGAAAACATTTAATAGCTGTCAGAGGGCATTACCCAGACTGTCTAGAACAGCAATGGCAAACCGTTTAGAGACAAGTGACCAAACTGGAACCCCAAACCCACTTATTTATCACAAAGTGCCAATTCGGTGATTAAACCTGAATACTTGGGTTTTAGTTTAGCAAAAAACAATTCATCCCCTTGGCTCCCAGGCTGATAGAGAGGGCTCCGCATGCCTGCTGTGGCACATATGTCAAAGGTTTGCCACCACTGGTCTGGAGTATCTACGTCATAACACTTAAGTTTAAACAAAATTCTAGACATGTGAAGAAGTGTAAAAATATGACCAACTAGGAAGAAAGAACAACAAGAGAAGCAAGATCTAAGATGGCCCAGATTTTAGAATTAGATGAGAAAATTAAAATAGTTATAATAAATAAGATCATCCATAATGCCTTGACTTGCACATTGGCTGCAATTTATTTTTATAAAATTTCACTTGACAGTGTCATGCCCGCTCATTTACAATGCATCTACAACAACTTTGCTGATATACTTCAGAGATGAGGGAGGGACAAGGGAAAGAAGAGAATAGAAGGAAAAGAATGTAAACAAAACTTTTATAAATATGGAGGGAAAAAGCTTTAAAGGGAGGGGAGGGGAATGGGATAAGATGAAGCAAGATATATCAGGTACAGGTGCAAATTCCTCATAATGACTGTTATCACTGTATATATCTAAAATGTACCAATAAAAAAGGAAAAAAGATATCAGTTTACCTTAGTCATCCATTAATTCAATGTATTACAATAAAAATTTAACATACCTTTTAGTATAAATTGGCAAGCTACGTTTTAAAAAATCTTGAAAATACAAAAGATCTAGATTCTCAAAAACAGAAACAAAAACAAAAAGCAACAACAACAAAAAAAAACCAACTGAAATAGTGCTCAACAAGTGACACAGAAAATGCAAATGGAACCACATGAAAAAAAAATAGAATGGGTAAAAGGATAGAAAGATTAGCACTAAATGTTGAGGTGGAAGCAGTTTCTGGAATTCCCATATGACTAGTGGGAGTGTAAAACAATGAAATTACAGTTCTTTGGAAAATTGAGAGTTTTTAAAATGATGTCAAATATATAGCTATGCTATGATCTGGAAATTCTACTGATAGGCATTTAGAGGAGTAAAAGGATATGTCTATGGAAAAACTTACAGAATTCTTCCTAATAAACAGAGTCTTATTAATCAACAACTCAACAGCTTAAATATCCATCGTAGGAGAATAGACAATCATTCAGTCAAGTAAAGAAACTACTGATATGTCCCCATTGGTAACTTTCAAAAATACTATGTTGAACAAAAGAAGTTAGACACAAACTAGTACATACTGTTTAGTTCCATATATGAAGTTTAAGAAAAGACAGAATTAAGCACAGACAACTCAGAACAGTGGTTTCTTGTGATAGGATCCAACAGGAGGAGGCAGCTTGGGGATGACCATGTTGAATAGATGATGCATACATTTGTCAAAATTCTCAAATTGTACCTTCCGGAACTGGACATTTCCTTATAAGGGCTCTCATCTCAACAAAGTCCTTGAGAAGTACACTTAATAACTCTTTGTAAATTATTCTTTAGCACAAAGAGTCAA